ACGCGGAAGCGGGAGGGGCTGTGGGGGTCGGTGATGAGCCCCTCGTGCGAGCTCTCCGGCGTGCGGACCGAGCACCACACCTGCAAACCCAGGGTGAAGAGGCTCCAGCGCTGGTGCCTGTGGCTGCAGGGCCCCACTCCCTGCCCGAGGAGCCCTCCCTGCCCCATGTGATGGGCACAACACACCCCCGGTCCCGGCTCTGCCTCGCTTTTTAACCCACACCACCCATCTCAGGTTCTCCACCCATCTCTGGAGGCCTCCGTTTTGCCATCACGCCCTCCCAACGCCATCTGGGCATGCCTCCACGCCCCCAAAAACCCACCACCCAGTGACCTACCTGGGCAAAGCCGACGAAGAAGAGCTGGTGGTTGGTGAGGCCGAGGGTTGGGAGGGTTTCCTCATCCCCGTTCTTTTTCAGCCAGTTTTGATACGCCTGGTAGCCAGGGAGTGCGGCAAGCTCAGAGGACAACACCGACCCCACCACACCGTGCCACCCGCTCTAACTCCCCAGCCCTGCGGCCCTACCCGGTAGGCAGCCTTGAGGCCCCCGTTGTCAGCGATGTTCTCCCCGAGGGTGTGCTTGCCATTGACAGCCTCCCCGTTGATGGTGTAGTTGCCGTACTGCTCCACCATGCACTCCGTCTGCCGCTTGAAGGCCTCCACCGAGGAGTTCTTCCACCAGGGACGCAGGTTGCCATCCTTATCGTACTCCCGGCCTGCCGAAAACACAGCGAGCCCTTCATCACCCCACCAGCCACCCCTCCAGCAGCCCACCCGCCTGGCCCTGCCCATACCTTGGTCATCAAAGGCATGCGTCAACTCATGGCCCACCACCACGCCGATCCCACCAAAATTCAGCGACCTGCAAGAGGCCAACGTTGAGATTTAGCCACGAGATTTAGCCTCAAATTTTGGGACAGGATGAAATCTGTGAATCCCGCCTTCCACATTTTCTCTGGACTCTTACTTGGGAGATGCACGGGTGTAAAAAGGGGCCTGGAGGATGCCAGCAGGGAAGACAATCTCGTTCTTGGTGGGAGAGTAGTAGGCGTTGACCGTTGGAGGTGTCATGCTCCACCTGCAGGGACATGGACATGGCCAACGTGGCAGCACAAACCCATCCCTGACGTCTTCTCCGACACCCTCTGCTTATGGTGCAAAGCCATCAGCCCTAATTCAACTCCCCAAAACCCTCATGGCCTGGTGGACACCAGATCCCAGTGCTCCAGATTATTGAGATATTTCCCCTGAGGGCAACAGAAGCAGAGCAGGAGACTTACTGGTCTCGGTTTGGTGGTTTCCGGAGCTGGTCGGCGGTGACCCTGGCTGAGAAGTTGTAGAACTGCATGACGTTCTCAAAGTAGAGGTCAGACACGGCTTCGTACTGCAGAAGAGCAAGGCATGAGTGGCCTGCAGTGATTGCCCAGCCCTATTCCTCCCTCCATGGTCATGTCTGAGCCTCCAGAGCCGGCCGAGTTACGGCTGCTCACTTCTCCTCCTCTCCAACATCTGCAGAGTCTCCAGAGGGCAGTGAATCACTGTTACAGAAACCATCTCCTCCTCTTCCCAGGCAGGGGCTCCAAGAGCACCAACCACCCCAGAACTGACCCACAGGTCTCTGAGAAGTTCCCAGAGAAGGGCCAAGAACATCAGTGAGACCCTTCTGGAGGAAGCCAGGGCTGCCCTGAGGCCATGGTGATGGGCACATGTCCTGCACATACTAGTGGAGTACTAGGGCGCAGCAGAAGACCCAGGGGACATATCTGACCAACTCACATCATTAAAGACTTTATCCAGCTCCTTGGGGTCCATGATGAACTTGGGGTAGCCAATCATGTTGTAGATGGCATCTGCCTGGGGAGTGACAAAGATCAGTGTGCTTTGGTGATGGAAGGACAGTCTCACCCAGCACCACCACTCTCCACCACCATCCTCTCCCCCCCAGTGCTGCTGCCTGCACCTCACCTTCTCTTTGGCCGATTTCCTTGTCTCTTCATCCATCCACTGCAGGGTCTCCAGGCTTTCCTCAAAGGCTGTTTTAATCTCTGCAATCATTTCCTCTGCCTAGACAAAACAAGGTGGCACAGCGTCGGTCCAGAGAGGTCAAGGACCTTCACATGGGTGGTGAGGAAGAGGCTGGGATGCCAACACGTAGACTAGTGAAAATCCCAGTGAAGGGAGATGCTCATTGGACAAAAGGTGAGCAGAGAAACATTGGTTGCTCCAACCATCCACCACCGTGGTGGCTCACACGCCACTCAGTTGGGGACATACCACCTGCTTGCTGTCCTCGGCGAAGGTGGCCTTGACGAACATGGCCCCCAGGGCAAAGCCCAGGTTGTTGTCTGTGTCACTGATGCAAAACTTCCAGCGTGGGAGGCAGGTCTGCACAGGACAAGAGGTGGTTGTCAGTGGTGGCATGGCCAAAGCCCCCCCACCTCCCCACCCTCTTGCCCTCCTGGGAGACGGGACCACATCCATCCCCCTTTCTACAGAGCTGCCACCCCAAAACCTGCCCCACATCCCTATTTTTTGGATGCAACATCATGGGGATTTTGCTTAAAAAGCTGTCACCATTCTCAGTGTGATTTGGGGGTGTCAAGGGCTCCACCCTCACCTTCTTTGTCCCGTACATCACTTCCATGAATTTCTCCTCAGCATCCTGGAAGCGCTGGTCCAGGAAGGGGCTGGTTTTCCTCACGAGGTTCCAGATCATGTAGTTGTTGAGGAGACTGCGGCGAGAGGCGGTGAGCGGGCAGCAGGACACGTCTGCCCACCCTGGGCACCCCTTGCCACGGGCTGGGGGCTCTCACCATTTATCTGTGGCCAGGATGAGGTCGGAGACCTGCTCCAGGTACTCCTTGGCATAGACCACGACGGGCTCCGACTCATTTATCTCCACAGGGTAGAAGACTGTGGAGAGGAAGGGCATCCAGTCCACGGCCGGCGCCAGCTCCTGCAAAAGCCATGCTGCTGCTGTAGACCCAAAAAACCATCAGGGGGGGGTATCAGCTGCTTCCCAAGCTGGAATCTGCTGCATCAGCCCCAGTTCCGAGGGATCCAGCTGATTTTGCAGGGACCAGTGCCCATAACAGCAGCATCCTCCAAAGGTCAGAGGGGAGTAAACAATTTCCTCCCGCAAAAGAAGAGAAAGTGGGGCGGGTGTCAAAAATGTTGACACAACAGGGCCCCTCTGGGGACACGGGGAGGTGACCAGGCTGACGTCCACAGCTGGACCACAGGCAGCAGCGCCGGGCCGGCATTAGGGCCACGGTGGGCCGGTCGCCAGCCTCGGGGGTGGTCCGGAGGCTGGGAGGAGCAGGTCAGGGTGGGATTTCCCCAAGGAGGACACAGGCCAAGCTATTGCACAAGAGCTTCCCAGGCGGTGTTGGCCAGCGTTGGGCTTCCTCGGAGGAGCTGCGTCACCTCCACCCATCCATCCTGCTTTCCAAACCACGGCAGAGCGGGAAAACTCGCCGACTCTACCCCTACCTTTAGTTCTCCAGCTGTCATTTTATGGTAGATGACCTCCTCGTCCCGGTGCTTCTCCTGTGGGATGGTGATGTTGGCCAGTGCAGTCTCAAAATCCAAGATCTGCTGCATCTGCTGCCGCGTCGACTCCTCGTCGGTGCCTCCCAGAAACATCCCCAGCTGCACCATGTAGTTCAAGTACCCCGCAAGCACCTACGTGGCGGGACAGGGTGGGGACCAGCACGGTGGGTGCCACCCACCCACGGCACCTCCCTAGCGAAGCCGGATTTCCCCCGATGGCCTTTACCTTCTCGTTCTCTGTCTTGTTCAGGTAGTAATCCCGGGAGGGCAGCCCCAGCCCCAGCTGATCCACCTGGATGACGTTGCTGTTGGAGTTCTTGGAGTCGGCGCCGACGTCAACGGAGAAGAAGGGCGAGACGCGGTAATGCGCCGTCACCTCCCGCAGCGTCGCGTTGAAGTTGTCCCCAGCCCAGGGACCCGTGATGTTCCAGCCACCCAGCTGGGGAGGAACAACAGTCGCCTTTTGGGTAAGGAACAACCACCTGGAATTGCTTTAATATTCCCCCCCCCCTGCCCAATACCCATCCTGAAGCTGAAACGTTCAGGAGAGGCAAGACCTGCCTATAAGTCCTTGCTTCTCTCTGCACGCCTGCCCTGAGGGATGCTCTTCCCTGGCTGCTAGGACTGCCCATAAATGAGTTTCCCCCCCCATTTTGCAGAGGGAAAACAGCTTCTCCAGGAGGAAGGGGACAAAGTGGATGAGGCTCTGGGCAGCCTGATCTAGTGGGAGGTGTCCCTGCTCATGGCAGAGGGGTTGGAACTGGGGGATCCTTGTGGTCCCTTCCAACCCTGACAGATTCTGATTCTGTTTTAGCAGAGGACTTTGGAGCCCTGGTGGCTCGGTGGTTGGACTTGATGATCTTGGAGGTCCCTTCCAACCTAAAGGATTCTATGATTCTTAAACCTTTTGGATGAGCTCCATGAGGGGGGTGGCACGCAGCTCCTCGATCTTGCTCTCGTTCATGCAGGCTTGGTAATAACGCTGCGCCTTGCGCTCCGCCTCGCTCGACACGTTGGCCGTGGTGTTTTCTGCAGGAGGTACCCAGGGGAGGCTCACAGGGGGGGTCCCCAGGGACAGGCATCCACCCCCACAACACCAGACCCCCCACGCTTCCACTGGAGAAATATCCAGCCCAAACTGGGGCAAAAGCAGTCTCCAAAGAGGTACAAAGATCACCCCACTCCGTGCCCCCAAGAGCATCCCACGGCCCCCAGCTCTTCCTGGCCTCCTGCCCCCGTCTCCTCTCACCCGCAGTGATTGCTCCAGCTATTTGGAGCAGAAAAGATAAAGGAAAAAAAAACAAAAAGCATTTTTCCAGCAGCTCTGATGTTCCCAGCATCCTCCATCCCCCTCTGCGCTGCCCTTACCCCCGTGCTGGTGCTCCCTAGCCCTATATTATTTACTCCTGCAAAAAGGAACAATAAACCCATTTTTCTCCTCTGCCTCCAAAATCATCCTTTTATTTTTTTTCCCCCCCTTTAAAATTCTGCTTCCCCAGAGGGTTTTTTTTTGTTATTATTTTCCTCATGACACAGCTTGCACCTTTGGCTTCCCAGCTGCATGGTTTTATTAACTAAAGGTCCCTCAGCTCCAAGGAATTCAAGGAAATGCCAAACGCAACCACTTGGCTGGAGGCCCGTTCCCTTCTCCCGGTAAAACCAGTGCCAGATTTCAGTGGGAAGAGCCGGGGACGAAGCTGTTCCCGCGCCACCCCCCTTCTCCCAAAAGACAACACTCTTCCCAAACCTTCTCTTTCCAGATAATCAGCCCTGGCTCATGGAAAGTGCTGATAAGGAGCCAGCTGTTTGCTCAGAGCTTGAACAAACCGTCCCTGCCAGTTGCCGGATAAGCCGCCCCGCTTTGGTGCTCGCACGCAGAGGCTGAGCCTGGGATCCTCCCTCCACTCGGGGAGTTTTCAGCCCCCCAAAAATGGCCAGGTTGGCAGCCAGCCTCCCCCCCCCGAAAAAAAAGCTGCTCTCAAAGGCTGGAAGCTATAACAGGAGGAAATTCAGATTCTTCAGGTGACATCGGGGTGCTGCGTCCTCTGGATGCTGTCTGAGGTACAAATGCTGAATTTCAGAACCTCTGGGAACACCGCCACGGGGTTTGTGGAGCTGAGGCCAAGACCCTTCCCTTACTTGGCATCAAAGAGCTGCAACACCACGGTCAAAAATCCCAGGGGCATCCAGGAGAGCAAACACAGCCAGGATCTGCTTCCCAATGCCCTCACGGTGCGTGCGTCACGGCTCAGTTTGACGCTGGGGTTTCAGTCCAACCTTACATCCCCACAAGGATGTTTTCAGCATCCCCTGGACCTAACGGGGCTCCTCGGCACCACGGGGGTCCCACCGCTCCCTCCTACTCACCCAGCAGATGCTTCATGATGGCCTGGTTGTGTTCCCAAAGGTTGTTGAAGGTGCCCCAACGCGAGTGGCCGTCAGGGAGCGGATTGGCCTTGATCCAGCCCCCGCAGGCATAGCTGAAGAAGTCCTCGCAGGGGTTCACAGCGCGGTCCAGCGAGCTGAGGATGGAGCTGGTGACGGAGATGCAGGCTTCCGACAGGCACACGGCCGGCGGCCCTGGGGGCAACGATGGGCTCAGCTCCTCCAGCCATGAGCTGCACCAGGAAGCATCCCGCCCCACGTGGGCAAACAGCTGGTGCCCGAGCACCCCACCCGCTCTAGGGCCAGCAACACAGACCTGTGTTCCCATCCCATGCCCCAGCACTCCATCCCAGGGTGAGGGATGCAGGCAAGCATCTCACCCTACACCCAAACTTCCTGCCCAACACGTGAGCATCTCACCTTGGGGTGAAGGATGTGAGCAAGCAGCCCATCCTGTGCACGAGCTCCATGAACCACTGAATCATTTAGGTTGGAAAAGACCTTTTAAGATCAAGTCCGACTGTTCCCCCAGCACTGCCAGGTCTCCACTAACCCATGTCCCTCAGCACCACATCTCCACGTACATTATTTTATGTATAATGTTGTCTATCATTACATCTGAACTGTGCCTTGTATTTTCTTAGCTGGGGTGGAAATGTGTTCTCCTTGGCCATGCCTATGTAGC